GACCATCAAAGGTATCCACCTACTAAATATGAAAGATTAAGCAATTAGGAGAAATTTAAGATAAATCCAACTTGCCGAAATAGGTTAACCAGACAAGGCCCTATTTTCAAAGTGAAAAAAGGAAATAACTTGGAAATATGGATGACACACTTATATAACTTGGCAATATCATGTATTGATAAGTAAATGTGTAAATTATAAAGCCATTAGTATATATAGAACTTAAGATATTTCCAACTTGCCGTTTTAGGTTAACCATTATTCATTTTCTAAGGGCAATAACTTGGTAATATGAAAGCCAGAGTTATGTTACTTGCCCAGATCATGTACTTTGTATTGATTAGTAAATGTGTAAACTTAGAAGCCATTGGTACAGGTAGAACTTAAGAAAAATCCAACTTGCCGTTCTAGGTTAACCTCGTACGGACAGACGGACGGACGGTTCAATCACTATATGCCCGGGGGCATAAAAATAGTCATTAATTGCACAAAACATGTAAATTATTACTTGATTCTTGAATTCTTTTTAATTTATTAACTGGTATTTTCTTATTAGTTTTCCAGCGAAAAGGATCGAAAACAGACGGAACTTTAAAAATATCTTTCCTTGAAGAAAATGGGTCTAGATGAGACAATTTCTTTTAAATGAACAAAACCATAATACTTATTATGTAACAGATACGTATGAATGTAGATCAAACAGAAGCATTTCTAAGCTATTGAAATGGTAGAATCAAAGATCATCATTCACATATCTTTGCATAGCAGATATAGCATTTGGAGCTTCGCAATACTTCTAATACAAATAGTTATATTCTCCAGGGGAAAACGTAATTGTTTTATAAATAGTCAATTTTGAATTAAACAGGACACAACGTGGTTGGAATAAGGCCGGGACTTAATTGTGCATTTTGGTTAAAACAAATATCATCGTCAAAAATATGAAATGAAATAAAAATTGTAGTGAGAAAAATAAGAAAGGAAGCTCCGAGCTCCGAGCTAAATGCATGGATAGCTTCATGGCAAGACAAAGTGCTGTAAACTATGATAATAAACTCTGAAAATGCTAAATTCTGCTTGCCGCAACGAGGTCAACCGTAAAGAATGTAAAGCGGCGTGGCATTGTACCAGAGTTAAACAATAGCAAAGCTAAAGAGAAATCGGGGCACATTGCTCCCATTAAATCTCTTATCAATGAGATATTTTTTGACGGCAACATTTTTATCAAATACCGAAATGCACATTTTGTGTGTTGAGGTTCAAGAAATGAAGTTCGACAGTTATGATTTGTTTATTATATTGAATGTACCTATTTGTGAAAGCGAAAATATAAAAATTTGTTACGGTTGATGCAATGAGTTTTTATAAGTACATGTAGTTATTTGTTAATGAATTTTTAAAAATTCTGCGTCGAAATGGTAAAATATTTATTGACTCAACTTCACTGAAATGTGCATCACTAAAAACGAGCGAAAAGCGAGAGAAGTACACTTAATGAAATAAAATAAAAGAGTTTTTAAACATCTAAATGTTCCAAAAAATGGGATTGTAATCATTGCAAATATTGCTAATATAAATATACATCGCAATCGATAAAAGAGCCTGAGCTAAGCTTTAGGGAAAAAGGACAGGGGAACTTACATGTCTGTTTCAATAAAGCCGGGTATTAAAGGTATGTAGCAAAGACAACGCGGCGATAAAACGACATGTACGAACCTACACGTATCAAACACTGCTTATTCCACTTTTTACTAGCCAATTAAAGACGTCGGCCGGCAAGTTGATTTTTTACGACCCTGTCCAAATAAGACACAGGCAAATTTATGGACAGCTAAATGGCCGACCGCACGGACACAGGCTCCCTCTATCGGTTAAAGTGCGCACGCCCAATTACAATTTTTGGCTAATGATGCGGACATTAAAACTATTTGAAAAATAAAAGCAATCGTTTTACCGCTTTTTTAGCATGCCGATAAATTCTATGCAGCCGCACAGTACATTTAAAGAACAATCTCTGGAAAAAAATATGCTTGGTAGAACCATTTGCCTTTTCCAAATAAAACGTATTTGGTCATCAAGAAACATAGGCAAAAACACAATCAAACGGGAAAATAAAATGAACTTAAAAATAGAGACTATTAGCTAAAGATTTTTGAAGGAAAACAAATAAAACTTGACAAACAACGTAGCCCTTTAAAACAGATCACTTCCCACAAAACGTGGAACAATGAAGTGACTTTAAACAGGTCAAAGACACTGCAAACCGGGTCGTCGGTTCGAATCCTATTAGATCAAAGATTCTTATCTTTAATATACGATAATTTTTGCAGGAATTAGAAGTTGCAGATTTTTCAATACTTATATATTATACGCCCTTATTTAATGTTTTGCTTAATTCAATAAAAAATATGATTTGATACTAGAGAAATTGAATGTCTCTTTAATTCGTTAACAATATTGACCAATTTAGATACTTCAGAGAACTTTTTGGGTTATATCTAAAACAAACGGCATATTTAAAAAATGTTTGAAAAAGACACTTTAAAAAAAAAAACAACAACAAACAAACAAAAAACAAACGTGTTGTACGGATGTTCAAATAGGACAGTCATATAAAAAAACAGCACGAACGTAACTACCTTAGAATTAACACTGCAGAAAATGTATTTACAGAAAATGTACTTATTTACAGATTATTCAAAAGTACCTTATTTTTAAAGAAGGCGTTCTTATCATGACAATGAAAATATTCATAAGTAAAAAATAATTGTACTAAATTGTTTTAATTAGTTTCGCGTAATGAATATAGCTCATGTTTATTGTTAGGTTTTTTATGGTTCCCTGTAGTGTCAATCAGGGATGTGTTACCTTAAGATTGTAGTAGCGGTAGGCGGTAGCTATTGATCATTATTACTTTGAAAATAACCTGCCCTTCCGAAATGCATTTAAGGAACACCGCTGAAGAAACTTAGATATTGAATTTCTTGTACAAATGGGCTCGGGCCCTTACAGAACATAACTGTTTTCGAAAATGAATAAAAAATATACACAGAAATAAACTGATAATTTATTTTGCTTTATTCTTAGCCCGATGAAAAAAGCGTTGTAATGCTGTTTTTTTTTCAATTCACGGTAATTTTCTCAGTTAGAATGATTATATTGAAAACGAAGCTGGCGAATTATATAGAATTTTGCACGCAATAAGCAATCTTTCCTTACTCAATAGCAAACTGTCAATGGTAGTACTTAAACATAAAACATATCTGATGTATATACCATAGAAATTTTGCGTAAGTTTAATATAGCAACACTATGAAATGCATATCGAACATCACACTGATCACTGCCATACTAAATTCAAATGCACATTTTTTAGAAGCGAAATTAATTAAAATAATATGAAGTACTTATCTGAAGAACATATGGTGAACTGTTGAAACCAGCTGTGTTGAAGATGAATAAGCGATGTTACCACGTCAAATTATAAAGTTGAAATGCGTAGCCTTTACAATGTTTGCACGAAAAACTCGTGTCTGCTAAACTTACGAAAACCAGTTTTATCGGAGAGAATGTTTTACCGTTTCACATGGATGAGCTTTGAGACAAATACACAAAATGTATCCGTTAAAAATCAATGTGATTTATTTCTTAAAAGAACATAAATCTGCTAACTTTTACAAATTGACATACTTTGACTAATCTGGAGGCATGCTGCTACAAAACAAAATCGTTCCATATCAAAGAAATGCAATATAATTTCATATCGTGTTATTAATCACAAAGCATTTATTGAACTACGAGCTTATATCTTATTGTTTAGTTGAAGTGTGAAAGAAAGTTTTCCTCTCGAAATTTGACATTTCTGTGTTTGAACACTGCCCTACAAATATCAGAAAACGGTTTTCGGTGAAAGCAAAAACGTAAAAAAATCGCACAAATTTATGGCAAATTGCCTTTTTCGTATACTAAATTATGGCTTCAATTTAGTGAGTCATCTCTAAATGCCTATAAATGTATATCTATTGAACACTGTTTCTAAGCATGGCACTTAAATTGCACGGCTTTTATAGTTAAGCCGTTGTATGACAGTGTAGCAATACCACGTGACCTGGACGTCATTTTCGGCATCATTTCCAGGACAAATATTGCTAGACTTGAAAAGGAAAATAGCCGTAAGTATTTTATTTCTGCACCGATTTCTTTGGGATATGCACCATTCTTCGGAGAAAAATATAAGCTTGCCATAGAATAGTGTTTTCCTTCAGTTTATGAGCCGTTTTATCAAACACTTTGTATAACCTTGAAAGTTGCTTGTATACGAGCGGACTTTAGTAGCAAGCTATTTCGTTTTCTTGTATTACGTGACCTACGCCATGATTTTAAAGTCGTGATTACATCAACCGGGAGTACGAAAGGCAAACTCCCACTTAAATATGTTTATATTGCAATTATTTATGGCGTAAATCTGAACTTTTTCTTCAATTGACAATTATGGCCCCAGTTCCAAGCCAAAAATCTGGACTACAGTTTAAAGCAGTTTTCAAAATTGGTTAGAAATGTATAGAAACATGAATTCCGTTCTCTTTCTATAATAACGACTATTCTTATAGAAAAGTCTGGTATTTGGGAAACCGTCGTACAGTTCAACCTCTACTGGGCGACACCCTTTCTTAGACAAAGATTCTGGTTGCTATTTAGAGGTTTTACACAGCTGTGATTTAAGTAGGTTGCTCAACCAACAGAGAGACGCCTTGCAGAGGTAGAGCTGTACATGTTTCTTTGACTTGTTAATTGACTTTTACGGAGAAGATTAACGCATACTGTTCACAATGTTACTGTTTACATGCGTAAGCAAGAAATACTTTAAAACATCTTTACCCGATGATTGACGGAAAGGGCCGAAAAGTTAATTGCCATTGAGAAATTTCAAATGTGGCGGAAAGAGACGAAAGGAAGCGATTGATTCTTAAAATTTACTCGAATCTCCAGATACAAGTAATTTGTATTTTAAATATAAAACAAAATGGAATAACCGATGCTTGTTAATAGGAATACTGTTTCATCATCACAAAATTTTAAAAGAAAAAAAAATCAGTTGAAATAGTGTTCAAAATGTTTCCGTCTAATACTGTAAATATGTTGTGGCAGATTTCTATCATGATGAGGGAGATCATTATCGTGAAATAATCTCCGGATTATAATACCAAATACTGACTGGTCAAATCTGTGACAGCGACCGTCTATTTCTAACTCCATGTTACATATAATACGACTACCAGGGGGCGCTATACACTCCTCATTTAACGCGCACGTGGTCCAGGCTTTCACGACGCTCCGTGTTACGTTGTTTATATGAAACATCAGACTGGTCGCCCATATTTCGTGGAAAGATTTAAATTTACAACTGTCTTCTTGTAAATAGTCAAAAGTGGCTTTTAACGTATGTTTAGTTAAAGTACCAACGGCCTTGGTGTTTCCCGATACGGTGAAAAGTGTTCCGTATCTAGCGGCTCGTGATAATACGAACTTGATATCTGTAGTCGTTAAACGAACTGATGTGTCCATCCACCATAGAAAGCCAAATTCCATCAATATTTCCTAGGAATCATAAAGGAACAAATAAACAATTATTAAGGTTTGTAGAAAATTGAATTAGTCATTTTGTAAAGTTTTAGTGAAAATATAGAGTATTAATTCATTTACATTTTTACCTATTTATTTCACCAAAACATCATGAATTTAAATGTCAATATTAACATCTGAAGATGAAATATTCTAACCCCTGAAAATTACTTCTTTACAAAACTGAAAAACTTCAATATTTTAAGATTCAGACCCTCGGGAAAAGAGTAAGAATTTACTTTACTTCATGCTTAAAAGGTGCATTTTGATGATAATTTACCTCCATGCATTGCGAAATGCCTGTGACATCACCTTGTAACACACCTTACCACGGATTTAATATAGATCTGTGACCTTACTTAACGTAACAACTCATCATTTTCAAAAGGTGTTCTATTACCTGAACAATAATCGGCTTGAATGCGTACGTATGGATCCTCTTCACATGTGGAGGGAATTTTTCATACTGAAAGCGTCTGACGTCACATTTGCAATTCTTCTTCAGCTGAAGGTAAACATAGCTACAGAACGATAATAAGATAATTATAAGACTGAATTAATTATTTTATTAGATCACACCGACTAAGAAACGCTAATTTATTAACATAGTCATTTTGATTTACGAAAAAAATTTGTACAGTAGAATCCCTCCTTAAGACCACCCCGGAATTAAGACCACCCCGCTTTTAAGACCATTTTTATAAGAACGGAATTCTCACAATTAAGACCACCCCGCAATTAAGACCACTTTGGTACAGTCCCGATGGTGGTCTTAATTGAGGGTTTTTAATGTATTTCTTAAAAGACTTAATGCCGACTTCCGTTAAATCAAATATGGCAGTTTGCTTTAAAAAGGTACACGTACACAAACAATAGAACAAGAGTTTGGTGTGGAATTTACCTTCAGTAAATTAGACGGTCGTATTCCAAGATCATAAACGATTACCATCAGTCGTTTTCTGTACTTTGAACTGAGAAATACTTCATGTATAGACTTGAATAAACCCTGGGACTCATTAAAATGTGAGTCATCAAAAGCCGTTACAAATACCGGAAATGTTCTTAGTTCTTTTGGACGTGTGTTAAAGGCGCCAAGTAACCTTAGATACTGCTCCGCCCCTCCGACAGGGTAGTTCTCTATCACCGCTAAGTTATCTTCTAATGAGCGATAAAAAGTTTCCTTACAATGTGGCGCCATTCCTATAAAAAGGAGAAAATATTCAGTACTTCTGGTATCATGCAACAAAAAGGCCGTAGCCTAAAAACCAGGGAAAAAGCGGGAACTTTCCGACAGTGAGGAGACAAATGTACCCCTACTTAATAAACAGTGACTCTTTCACATGTTCTTGATCTGTTTAAATGAAAGATATCAGCACTGCCGTTGTAGAGCCCTCGACCAAAAGAGGCTGTAAACCTCAAACATTATCAGCATAAATTCAAGTGTTATCGACATAGTTTCCATTATCGACATAGATTCCATCTAGAATCAGACGATATCGACACAGATTTAATTAATGTCAGCATAGACTTGAGTGATCATTGACATACATTCGATATATGCACAGATTCAAGTGATATATGCATAGATTAAATTGATATATGCATAGATTCAAGTGTTATATGCATAGATTCAAGTGATATATGCATAGATTCAAATGTTAAATGCATAGATTCAAGTGATATATGCATAGATTCAAATGTTAAATGCATAGATTCAAGTGATATATGCATATATTCAAATGTTAAATGCATAGATTAAAGTGATATATGTATAGATTTAAGTGATATATGCATAGATTCAAGTGATATATGCATAGATTCAAGTGATATATGCATAGATTCAAATGTTAAATGCATAGATTCAAGTGATATATGCATAGATTCAAGTGATATATGCATAGATTAAAGTGATATATGCATAGATTCAAGTGATATATGCATAGATTCAAGTGATATATGCATAGATTTAAGTGATATATGCATAGATTCAAGTGATATATGCATAGATTCAAGTGATATATGCATATATTCAAGTGTTATATGCATATATTTAAGTGATATATGCATAGATTTAAGTGATATATGCATAGATTCAAGTGATATATGCATATATTTAAGTGATATATGCATAGATTCAAATGTTAAATGCATAGATTCAAGTGATATATGCATAGATTCAAATGTTAAATGCATAGATTAAAGTGATATATGTATAGATTTAAGTGTTATATGCATAGATTCAAATGTTATATGCATAGATTCAAATGATACTTGCATAGATTCAAGTGATATATGCATAGATTCAAGTGATATATGCATAGATTCAAATGTTAAATGCATAGATTCAAATGTTAAATGCATAGATTCAAGTGATATATGCATAGATTCAAATGTTAAATGCATAGATTCAAATGTTAAATGCATAGATTCAAGTGATATATGCATAGATTCAAATGTTAAATGCATAGATTAAGGTGATATATGTATAGATTTAAGTGATATATGCATAGATTCAAATGATATATGCATTGATTTCGACATTTTCGAATGATATCGACATAGATTCAAGTGATATCGGCAGAAATTCGATTAAAACATGTATAGATTGCAGTCAGACTATTAAAGGCACATTATGCCACAGAAATCCATATTTATACAATTCTTTAGACATGTCAAACATGTGTTTAATAATGTTTAGAGCATGTTAGGTGTTTAACTCTGCTGCTGAGGAAAGAAGCGCTAAATGTACTGTAATGTGTAGCAAAGGTAGCAAAATGTAAACAAAGTAATATTTTGAATTCCATACAAAATACTCATTTACTATAATTATACCATTTGTTAACAAATAGAAATATGCAAAGATATTTCAACTATATGGCAAATGCATATTTTTTTTGCAACTGTGTAAGATACAAAAAAGAGAGTTTTTGTTTTTTGAGAAATAAAAATGCTTGCATTTTGGGGCATAATGGGCCTTTAAAGTACAGGTGTAATTTAGGTAAATAGGAAGTTGATTTTAGAGAGATAAGTGAGATACAGTTATCAACAAAAGTTAAATATAAACAGGACACATATTAGTAGAAGTTTGGGAGTTATTTACTACTGATTTTGGCTCGTGACTTCCAAAATATAATGCTTTTCCTTCTCTACTTCCAATGTCAGACAGTTTTAGATTCTGACTTCCAAATTTTGAAACTTAATGGAAGCCCTGTATAAACAAGTGACAAGGCATACTTACTAAATGTTAACTGGAAAAGCACTAATTGCACGGAGGCCACACACATTATCACAATGAATATTGCTCGTAAATTTTTAACTGAAAATAATGAAAATATTGCATTTTAATAAATACAACAATCATAATTCTTGTTATTATCATAGTCATCATCAAAAAATCGTCGTCATCGTAATCATCATCTTCGTCGTCGTAGTCATCATCATCGTCGACGTCATCATCATCATCATCATCATCATCATCGTCGACGTCATCATCATCATCATCGTCGACGTCATCATCATCATTATCATCATCATGACATCATCATAATCACTGTCGTCGTCGATGACGTCAACATCATCATTATTATAATCATCATCATTATTATCATCATCATCATAGGCATCGTCGTCATCATCATCATCATCAATCGACGAATGTTGTCAGTACGCGTTATCTCAAGTCACGTGATGTGCAAGACGTTATGCAAGCATTTTATTGAAAAGTACATTTTTCTTAATAAAACAGAAAAAGAGTGAATTAAATATTATCACGTTCATTCTTCAACTGAAACCAAATCGTTTGATTCAAACAAAATTGTTTTATTAAGTTGCAATTTACCAACGCCATAAATAAAAAATATACTTTATAGACGTCTAATGAAGTGAAAACGCATTTAAATGAACTGCATTCGTCATACAAATCATTTTCGTTTTGAAATGAAGATGAAATAAATAAAAAATAATTGCGTAGGTTGAGTTGAATCGGTATGGAAACGAACGTCAGTTTTGTTGTATTACAAAATCATGACAGAGGTAAATACACACGTTAAGTAAATGTATATAGAATTAAAGGAACTCCACTGGGGTTCAAAAGCCAAAACAAATGAAATTTGAATTTCTTACACAGATCAGCTGGGGCACATAAAACAGAATTATATGCAAATTAAAGATAATTAAGAAAAAACTGAAAATAGTATGTGTTGTGCTATTAGTGCGATTTTATAGAAAAGTGTTTCAACGCGTTTCATTTTTGGATCATTTTTCACATTTACAATAAGAATTCTGGGAAAACGGAGTGAGCGAATGATCTCAAAAAACTGTTTACAAATAGCTAGGCGCAATTCTGATTTTTTTTATCTCCAGCTGTTTATACGTATACAAAGTTTTATAATAATCAAATTTCAATGGAGGTAAACTATCGTGTAGTCAATATATTTCGATATAAATTTGATAGCAAATATGGCAACATTATGCCTCAGAAACTATTATATATCTTTACCTCATTAGAAAGGGCAGATTCATAGATAACATTTTATTTAACATGTTATCTACATCTCTTGAAAGGGCAAACATGAATTTTATAATGTTTTAAAAGTAATGTTAGATGCTTGTTACCTGAAAAAGTAGCATTAAATGTGAAATAATTTACCATAAATGTAATGAGTTCCGTACAAAAGACTTATTCACTATAACTATACTTTTTGCTAAAAAGCAACAGATGAAAAAGATAGTTCAGGTAATTGGCCAATGAATAACTTTTTGGATACAATAAAAGTACATCAAAAATAAAAAGCTTTTAAGAAATAAAAGCCTTTCTGCGGCAGTATGGTCCTTTTAAATAACTATACAAAATGCCCGTGTAACAACAACGTACACACTTTTTTAAGCAACTCAATGTTTATTAACATGATGAACAAAATGACACGATAAGACAAAACAAATGTAATAATATTAGCAATGTGTGGAGTTTGAGGATTCCAAATTACAATGATACATGAAATTTATATGAATCAAAACTCGATTTTCGCACACTTCGGTAAAGTTAATCTATTGTTAACATTCAAAAGTAAAGAAAATTAATATCATACTCACCTGCTATAATAAGTCTGAAATAGTGCTTTATAAAATTCCCCGTGGTCACCATGCTGCATATCAGCTTTGGTTAGAGAATTTCACTTTAGACGAAACACTTGGTATAACGTTAGCCAGATGTATAAAATATTTCATATATGTTCAATGAATACAAGTTTAAAAGTACAGTGAATTAAGGTATGACATCCATTATGAGTTCTTGAACATTCGGTATATTTCGACATTTTCCGCATGGTATATATATCAAATAAGCGTCGACATGAACACGAGGAACAAAATAATTCGGCAATTTTCAACTCTTGTAAAAAAATCAAACGTCGAGATTATCGCTGGCAACAAAATATTTCGGCATTTTCTGCATCTTACAAAATCATGTAACTGACCACGAGTAAAAAAGGAGATATTACGGCTTTTTCAGGATCTTGAAAAAAAATTATCAATAAGCGCTAACATAAAGACGAGCAAAATTATCTTGGCAACACACTGCTTTGCCATGAGTAATTCATATTGAAGATGGATATGGTTCCTTAATGAACGTTTTAATCACATCCATTAATATCTTGTGGGAATCAAAATATTTCAAATATTGGTTTTCATTAGAGAATAAATATATGAATATAAAAAGGTTGTTTACTTCCTGTACTTTTCAAGCTTCTTAATCCAAGCGGAGAAATTAGTTAAGCTTGAACAGACCTTTAATATAAAGCTTTTCAATAAATTCAATTTATACATCATCGGGCAAACTAACTGTTGATATTCATACGTAATTCTGTTGCAGTGTGTGAGTTTTAATCTGATCATTGAAACTGAAATACCCGTTGTGACGGAATTAAATTAAGCTATGAAAGAATAACACATCTATATTTCGCGTTTTCAAAGCTAAATCTTCAAAAACACATATCATACCGCGATTTAATTGGGTTTGATCTTAACCGGCAACAAAAGCTGTATTTGCATGCTAGTCATCGTGACATCAATATAATGATTGTCAATCGAAGTATATGTTCATCAAAAGTGCATCCATTATGATTTATGCAAGAGAATACTCATTCGTAACTTTCCGGTCATTTCCGCCATACCTCGGCAAAAGTAATCAATTTGGAATCAGGTTAATTTCAATTATTTGCATGAAGTAAATAGAGGATATTCAAGTTTTTTATCTATTAATACAGGTATTATTTTCATCGAGTGGTATGAAATAAATATTTCATGAGAGGTGGTAGTCACTAGTAAAATATGATAATTTTCTTCCACATATATAAATCAATTCTTTACCGTTAAAATACTAAAAAATGAGAGAAAAAACGCATTTTATTCCATCATTTTTTTTTATTTCATTTTTAAGTATATAATAAATGTAAATACATGTACGTTTGTGAATATACATACAAGGCATAACTGTAATAAGTGTCTATTTGCTTGAGGTAACTGTAAATACGATCGTACATGTACATTTAAGGCATAACTGTAATAAATGTCAATTTGCTTGAGGCAATTGTAAATACGCTCGTGCATGTACATATAAGGCATAACTTTAATAAGTGTCTATTTGCTTGAAGTAAATGTAAATACGCTCGTGCATGTACATATAAGGCATAACTGTAATAAGTGTCTATTTGCTTGAAGTAAATGTAAATACGCTCGTGCATGTACATATAAGGCATAACTGTAATAAATGTCTATTTGCTTGAGGTAATTGTAAATACGCTCGTACATGTATATATAAGGCATTACTGTAATAAGTGTCTATTTGCTTGAGGTAATTGTAAATACACTCGTGCATGTACATATAAGGCATAGCTGTAATAAGTGTCTATTTGCTTGAGGTAACTGTAAATACGCTCGTGCATGTACATATAAGGCATAACTGTAATAAGTGTCTATTTTCTTGAAGTAAATGTAAATACACTCGTACATGTATATATAAGGCATAACTGTAATAAGTGTCAATTTGCTTGAGGTAACTGTAAATACGCTCGTGCATGTACATATAAGGCATAACTGTAATAAGTGTCTATTTGCTTGAAGTAAATGTAAATACACTCGTACATGTATATATAAGGCATAACTGTAATAAGTGTCAATTTGCTTAAGGTAACTGTAAATACGCTCGTGCATGTACATATAAGGCATAACTGTAATAAGTGTCTATTTGCTTGAAGTAACTGTAAATACGCTAGTGCATGTACATATAAGGCATAACTGTAATAAGTGTCTATTTGCTTGAAGTAAATGTAAATACGCTCGTGCATGTACATATAAGGCATAACTGTAATAAGTGTCTATTTGCTTGAGGTAACTGTAAATACGCTCGTACATGTACATATAAGGCATAACTGTAATAAGTGTCTATTTGCTTGAGGTAACTGTAAATACGCTCGTACATGTACATATAAGGCATAACTGTAATAAATGTCTATTTGCTTGAGGTAACTGTAAATACGCTCGTGCATGTACATATAAGGCATAACTGTAATAAATGTCTATTTGCTTGAGGTAACTGTAAATACGCTCGTGCATGTACATATAAGGCATAACTGTAATAAATGTCTATTTGCTTGAGGTAACTGTAAATACGCTCGTGCATGTACATATAAGGCATAACTGTAATAAATGTCAATTTGCTTAAGGTAACTGTAAATACGCTCGTAAATGTACATATAAGGCATAACTGTAATAAATGTCTATTTGCTTGAGGTAACTGTAAATACGCTCGTGCATGTACATATAAGGCATAACTGTAATAAATGTCTATTTGCTTGAGGTAATTGTAAATACGCTCGTGCATGTACATATAAGGCATAACTGTAATAAATGTCTATTTGCTTGAGGTAACTGTAAATACGCTCGTACATGTACATTTAAGGCATAACTGTAATAAATGTCTATTTGCTTGAGGTAATTGTAAATACGCTCGTGCATGTACATATGAGGCATAACTGTAATAAGTGTCTATTTTCTTGAAGTAAATGTAAATACGCTCGTACATGTACATATAAGGCATTACTGTAATAAGTGTCTATTTGCTTGAGGTAACTGTAAATACACTCGTGCATGTACATATAAGGCATAACTGTAATAAGTGTCTATTTGCTTAAGGTAACTGTAAATACGCTCGTAACATGTATATATAAGGCATTACTGTAATAAGTGTCTATTTGCTTGAGGTAACTGTAAATACGCTCGTACATGTACATATAAGGCATAACTGTAATAAGTGTCTATTTGCTTAAGGTAACTGTAAATACGCTCGTGCATGTATATATAAGGCATAACTGTAATAAGTGTCTATTTGCTTGAGGTAACTGTAAATACGCTCGTAAATGTACATATAAAGCATAACTGTAATAAGTGTCTATTTGCTTGAAGTAACTGTAAATACGCTCGTACATGTACATATAAGCATAACTGTAATAAGTGTCTATTTGCTTGAGGTAAACTGTAAATACGCTCGTACATGTACATATAAGGCATAACTGTAATAAGTGTCTATTTGCTTGAGGTAACTGTAAATACGCTCGTACATGTACATATAGGGCATAACTGTAATAAATGTCTATTTGCTTGAGGTAACTGTAAATACACTCGTGCATGTACATATAAGGCATAACTGTAATAAATGTCTATTTGCTTGAGGTAATTGTAAATACGCTCGTGCATGTACATATAAGGCATAACTGTAATAAATGTCTATTTGCTTAAGGTAACTGTAAATACACTCGTGCATGTACATATAAGGCATAACTGTAATAAATGTCTATTTGCTTGAGGTAATTGTAAATACGCTCGTGCATGTACATTTAAGGCATAACTGTAATAAATGTCTATTTGCTTGAGGTAACTGTAAATACGCTCGTACATGTACATATAAGGCATAACTGTAATAAATGTCTATTTGCTTGAGGTAACTGTAAATACACTCGTGCATGTACATATAAGGCATAACTGTAATAAATGTCTATTTGCTTGAGGTAATTGTAAATACGCTCGTGCATGTACATATGAGGCATAACTGTAATAAGTGTCTATTTTACTTGAAGTAAATTGCTTGTAATGAAATACGCTACGTAACATGTACTTAATAATAATACGCCGTCATGTACATATAAGCATTACTTTAATAAGTGTCTATTTGCTTGAGGTAACTGTAAATACACTCGTGCATGTACATATAAGGCATAACTGTAATAAGTGTCAATTTGCTTAAGATAACTGTAAATACGCTCGTGCATGTACATATAAGGCATAACTGTAATAAGTGTCTATTTGCTTGAGGTAACTGTAAATACACTCGTGCATGTACATATAAGGCATAACTTTAATAAGTGTCTATTTGCTTGAGATAACTGTAAATACGCTCGTGCATGTACACATTAGGCATAACTGTTATAAGTGTCTGTTTGCTTGAGGTAACTGTAAATACACTCGTGCATGTACACATGAGGCATAACTTTAATAAGTGTTTATTTGCTTGAGGTAACTGTAAATACGCTCGTACATGTACATATAAGGCATAACTTTAATAAGTGTCTATTTGCTTGAGGTAACTGTAAATACGCTCGTACATGTATATATAAGGCATAACTTTAATAAGTGTCTATTTGCTTGAGGTAACTGTAAATACGCTCGTACATGTACATATGAGGCATAACTTTAATAAGTGTCTATTTGCTTGAGATAACTGTAAATACGCTCGTGCATGTACATATAAGGCATAACTTTAATAAGTGTCTATTTGCTTGAGGTAACTGTAAATACGCTCGTTAATGTACATATGAGGCATGATTGAAATACTGTCTATTCGGAACCCGGCACTCATCGATTCAGTCATATCATTCCGCCTTTGTTCATTATTACAGGCACTGCCGTTTATCTACATCTTTTTAGATATAAGAATCTTTGGACAGATGAAAAATGATGAAAAATTACTTGGATATGTTAAAGGGACTCCACTGATGTTGTCTTTTGTTACATGACAGGACTTGTAATAAATTTTAAAGATTAATGTTCCATTTTTACGCTTTTTTACCACAGTTGAGTTCTTTTAACCACAACACCGCTTCCAACTAGTATATATGTACAACTGTATTCAAGACCTTTGACCAAATGAAACCTTGACTGAATTAAATTGAAATCGAAATCTAGCTTCTTCTTAGCCAAGTTGGATGCTTTATTTTTTGTGTCAAAAAAGATTTTTCTGGAAAATAAACGGATAGAGCAAATGATCTGAAATTTGCATATAAGCAGAGATGTAGATGTTTTGTACAAGTTATCGGTAAAGATCTTCATTATATGGTATAAGAATCACGAAAAACTATTTCAAGTCACGCAATGTCAAAAAACTCAGATAGGTCCCTTTAATATAGTCCATATTAGGTTGGCAATGCATGGCGTTGCATCTCAAACATGCATGTACATTAGTACAAGAAAATAATATACTGTTGAAGGCCGGTGATCAACTGGCAACATTTTTTTCCGGGAACTCCAGTTTCATCCTCTGGTCCATAGTAAGGATTACAAATATAACAGTTTAAGTAGAAAAAGCCATGTCACGCATCATTAAGTCATGCAGCTTTTGCAAAATTATTTTCCCTAAGAAAATCTTTATAAATATTCCCGCTTGGCTCTTTAAACGTTCTGGGTCCATACATAACCCTAAAGCATATCAGTGATTACTTACAACTTTTAAGCAGAACCAAAATAAAAGATAAAGCCTAGGCCAAGCCAAATACCAAGGATTGGGGTAATTTTTATAAAATATGCCCGTTTGGCCGTGACCGGATGGGGGTAATTCTTTATAAAATATACCTGTTTGCTCCCATTAAAGGTTCTGGGTCCATACATGTTACCCTGAGAAAACTAATTTTTTTCTAACTTAAAGTAGAACCAAGATCTATTGCTTGTTAATGTTTTGCATATCTTTGTTTGAAATACCATATTGGATATAGTTTAGGCTAAGCAACATAGCAAAATTATGTTCAATACTTCAAAATAATTGGATCAGGGATGGGGGAGGAATTTTTCTTTTGATGAAGTGCACTTAAGTACTGAAAACTTCGAAAAAAATAAGGTCGAAAATCTGCAGAGCCCATCATTTTCCGTAACAATGCTTTATGCCAAATAAACATGTAGAGGCATAGTATTTATCCACATTAAGATAATTAAAAGGGGTTGTTTTTACTATACATTAGTCTACAAACAGTAAATGATTCCCAGGGCAGGCCCAATTTTAACCGGGGTGGGGGTCATGATTAAATATAACTTTTTGTTGATGCTACATGCCAAATATCTAAGATCTTGGCTTTGTAGTTTCACACAATTGACTCAAATTTATTTTCCTATATAAGTTTATATAAATCAAGTAACCCTGGGACGGTCCAATATTGACCCCAGAGGTAATTATTAACTTCAGTTTTGTAGAGGTCAATAATGCAATGCCACATGTCAAATACCAAAACTCTAGGCATTGTAGTTTCGCCAAAATAAGACTTAAACGTGTTTACTTATACAAAACTATTTTAACAAAGTGACCACCGGCAGAACTTATATAGACCCTAAGTAGCATGATTAATACCAGTTATTTTGTAGTCCACAGAATGATGTTACATGCTCGTTCTGGGCAAGGTAGTTTCACACAATAAGTGTCAGATGTGTTTTTCTATATTGTTCTATATAAATCTAGCGGCCCCTGGGGCAGGGCAAATGTTTATCCAAGGGGCATGATTCACATCAGTTTTCTAAAGGTTAATACTGCAATACTGCATGCTATATATCGATATGCTCCAAACATTGTAGATTCACACAATGAAACTTAAATGTGTTTTTCTATGTAAGTCTATATAAATTAATTAATCCCCGGAGCAGGGCCACTTTTGATGTCATGAAGCTCAAACCTGTGTTTTGCACTTCATCTCATTAAAGGTAATATTTCTGCCAAAAAAAATCTTTTTTTTTTCTATCAGTCTGAAAAGATACAGTGCAAGCAAAAAAGTTTGAAATTGATACAAAATGACTGTGACCTTGACCTTAGTAAGATCAAACCTGTGCTGTGCACATCTTATTATGGTTAACATTTCTGCTAATAAGTTTTAATTTCCCTTCCACCGGTTCAAGATACAGACCAAACGCCTGCTAACAGACAGTTGGACAGACAACCAGGTGCATAATATAATATGCTTAAATATTTTTGGGCTGTAAAAAATGGAAGTTTGATCAGTCTACTTAACATATTCAGCATGTAAAGCATAAGGTTAAGATATTTTTCCACTAAGGGTAGAAACAAAGTTATCTGCTGTCCAACTTACTGGTCAACAGAGATTTATAAATGAGGGATATTTGAATCAGCAATATGCATCAATTATATACAATTTATTTTTTCTACTATAATATCATATATAATAAGCCAACGAAAAATTAAGTTTCCTTAAAATTTGACCACTTTCGCTTTCTTCTTGGCCTTCAATTTTGGCTCTGATTTTTCATCAATCATTTCATCTGTGTTATCGAGGTCAACACTTTTGTTACCGTCCAGTCTCTCTAATGTAATGCTTCCAATACCTGGAAATATAGAACAGAAGTAAAACTACAATACTTTCAATATCTTGAACAAGAGGGCCATGATGGCCCTGAAGTCGCTCACCTGTATATAGGCCCCCGGAGCGGGGCCAGTTTAAACCCCAGGGCTTTTATTTGAACAAACTTGGTAGACACCCATTAGAAGATGTTTCATGCTAAACATCTAAGGTTCAGCTGGTCAAGTTTTTTCTTTACACATATAGTTAAAAACAATGACACACCTGGGGCAGGGCCAGTTTTGATCCAAGGGCTTTTATTTGAACAATCTTTGTAGACACTTACTAGAAAATGTTTCATGCTTAATATCTAAACTCTAGCTATTCGGGTTTTTTCAAAGAAGATTTTATAAGTTTTTGCTATACATATATAAGAAAAATCAATGTCCCCCGGGGCGGGGCCAATTTTGATCCCAGGGCTTTTATTTGAAAAAACTTTGTAGACACTAACTAGAAGATGCTTCGTGTTTAATATCTAAACTCTAGCTATTTGAGTTTTTTCAAAGAAGATTTTTTAAGTTTTTGTTATACACATATAAGGAAAATGAATGACCCCCGGGGCGGGCCAATTTTGACCCCAGGGCTTTTATTACAACAAACTTGGTAGACACTCACTAGAAGATGTTTCATGCTTAGTATCTAAACTCTAGCTATTTGGTTTTTTTCAAAGAAGATTTTTTAAGTTTTTGTTATACACATATAAGGAAAATCAATGACCCCCGGGGCGGGCCAATTTTGACCCCAGGGCTCTTATTTGAACAAACTTGGTAGACATCCATTAGAACATGTTTCATGCTAAATATCTTAGCTCTAGCTCTTTGGGTTCTTTAAAAGAAGATTTTTTAAGTTTTTACTATATGCATATAGGGAAAATCAATGACCCCCTGGGGCGGGGCCAATTTTGACCCCAGGGCTTTTATTTGAACAAACTTGGTAGACACCCATTAGAGGATGTTTCATGCTAAATATCTTAGCTCTAGCTCTTTGGGTTCTTTAAAAGAAGATTTTTTAAGTTTTTACTATATGCATATAGGGAAAATCAATGACCCCCTGGGGCGGGGCCAATTTTGACCCCAGGGCTTTTATTTGAACAAACTTGGTAGACACCCATTAGAGGATGTTTCATGCTAAATATCTTAGCTCTAGCTCTTTGGGTTCTTTAAAAGAAGATTTTTTAAGTTTTTACTATATGCATATAGGGAAAATCAATGACCCCCTGGGGCGGGGCCAATTTTGACCCCAGGGCTTTTATTTGAACAAACTTGGTAGACACTCACTAGAAGATGTTTCATGCCAAATATCTAAGCTCTAGCTCTTTGGGGTTTTTAGAAGAAGATATTTAAAGTTTTTTCTTTTGGTTGCCATGGCAACCAGAGTTCTGCATGGAATTAAATTCTTTGAACAATTTTCAAAGGTGACCACCAAAGGAACATTCCTGTGAAGTTTGGATGAAATTGGCTTAGTGGTTTATGAGGAGATGTCATTTAAAGTAAAAGTTTACGGACGACGGACAGACGGACGTCGGATGAAAAGCGATCACAAAAGCTCACTCTGTCACTTTGTGACAGGTGAGCTAAAAATAGAACAAACGCCATACTGCAATAATTCCAATACCTTGAAAAATAGAACAAAACAATACTTTCATAATTCCACAACCTGGAAAAATATAACAAAAACCATACTGCAATACTTCCAATACTAGAAATATATAACAAAAGCCATACTGCAATATTTCCAATACCTGAAAAAAATACAACAAAAGCAATACTTTCTTAATTCCACAACCTGGAAAAAGAACAAAAGCCATACTGCAATACCTCCAATATATGGGAAAATAGAACAAAATCTATACTGTAATACTTCCAATATCTAGAAAAATAGAACAAAAGAGATACTGCAATACTTCCAATACCTGTAAACAGAAAACAAAAGCCATACAGCGATACTTTTAATACCTGGAAAAATAGAACAAAAGTCATACTGCAATACTTCCAATACCTGGAAAATTTTAACAAAGTTATACTGAAATACATTCAATATCTGGGAAAATATAACTTAAGCCATACTTTGACAATACCACTACCTGTGGAAAATTAGAAAAACTTATACTGCAATACTTCCAATACCTGGAAAAATAGAACAAGAACCTGCGACTATATGTTCCCCTGAAATTTTTCAAGGAACATAACAAAAGAATTAATAAATTACTGTCAACAGGTTATAAATACAAGAGCGATCAGTAATCACATGTGTCGCCTCATGATGGCCAATTTCATGTTGGGACAAATTTTGTGACAAGACGGACAGACAGACGGACAGTGCACAACTAGACTTGGTACTGATCATTCCTGTAAAGTTTGGATAAAATTGCACCAGTAGTTTATGAGGAGTAGTCCGGACAAGCTTTTGCGTATCTGGCAACACACAGAAAAAAAACACCTTTTAATCAAAGGGCCATTACTCAGCCAAAAATCATTCAACCGGAAAACCCGTGCAATATGCGCAAGAACTTGAGCTACAGATCAATCCTGTAAAGTGTCATTGAAATTGCATTAGTGGTATAAGAGAAGTAGTCCGGACAAACTTTAAAAATAAAAATTATTAAAGGGCCATAACTCAAACAAAAATCATTGAACCGGAAAATGCTGACAATATGCACAACTAGATTTGGTACTGATCATTCCTCTAAAGTTTGGATGAAATTGCACCTGTAGTTTATGAGGAGTAGTCCGGACAAGCTTTTGTGTATCTGGCAACACACAGAAAAAGAAACCTTTTTATCAAAGGGACATAACTCGGCCAAAAATCATTCAACCGGAAACCCTTGCAATATGCGCAAGGACTTGAGCTACAGATCAATCCTGTAAAGTTTCATTGAAATTGCATTAGTGGTATAAGAGAAGTAGTCCGGACAAACTTTAAAATTAAAAATTATTAAAGGGCCATAACTCTGACAAAAATCATTGAACCGGAAAATGCTGACAATATGCACAACTAGACTTGGTACTGATCATTCCTATAAAGTTTGGATGAAATTGCACCAGTAGTTTATGAGGAGTAGTCCGGACAAGTTTTGTGACGGACGGACAGACGGACAGACAGACGGACAGACAGACGACGGAGAAGTGATCCATATATGTCGCCACTACTCCGTAGAGGCGACACAAAAAAAAGTTATACTGCAATACTTCCAATACCTGAACAAATAGAACAAAAGTCATACTGCAATACTTCCAATACCTGGAAGAATAGAACAAAAGCAATACTGCAATACTTCCAATACCTGGAAAAAAAGAGAATCAAAGGCAACTGTCAGACGGGTGACGTTAATTTTCTTAAGACTTACTTTTCTTATATTTAGTTTTGCTGAATTAAAGTAATAAAATAATAGTGTAAACATATAACTTGCAGACAGAACTAAATGTCAGACAAGAGAGGTGGTCTCCTATAAGGTATGAACATAGTAACACTAAGGACTAGATGGAAAGTGATTAAGGTCAGCTACTCATTACCAAAGATACGGTAAAGAAACTTATACAAGATAAAGGATCCAATAAAAGATCCATTTATCTAGGTAAACAGGAAATTTCCACACTGTTTTATTGTGTTGTCATATCTGAATGACAATGGTTATGCTTTTTTATTCCCAATCAGACAAGTTTTACTATGGACTTAACTTGGCTAAATTGATGTGCAGAAATTGATGTAAAAGTACAATGTTTTGTTTAGGGTATAATTTAAGTTGATATTGCTGGTATTGATAGCTTGGACCATATCATTAGAAAAAATGTAGCTTTGCAAGAATAGAAGTTATAACTTGTATTCTCTGACTGTTCTGATTTTTCACAGTTTTGTCTTACCTTTTATCTTCTTGCATTAATCAGTACAGATAAGAGTGTGGTGATATGAATCTTTGCAGCATTGTTTCTCCCCCTTACATTAAGTGACATCGAATAACACTGTAAAGCGTCTCCAGCTCTACCTTCTTGTTCCATGCATTTTCCTAGAAGATTTAGAGCTGTTTCCCGATGTCCAAGGTTTGGTTCCTCTTTTATGGTTCTAATAAGTTTGAAGAGAGCAGCTTGTTTCTGGTCATGTCTCCCTAAATGGCTGTAAACTTTGTATTGTAGAAAGTAAAGGTAAGGGAGGGAATCCACCATAGCACAATCCATCCATCTGTTGTCATCTTCTGTACGAAACATTCTGTCCTCTTGTGTAGATCTAAACATTTCATATCTGAATTCAGTCGGTACACAGTGAATTTCACAACGCATAAAACTAACGCAAAATGCTGTTGCATATCGTATGGCGTCTTCATTTTGATTGTCACATAATTCACAGAATCCTGGTCTATATAGTTCCTTCTTAAAAAGATGACAAGAACAGACAGGCTCAACAATTTGTACATCATATCTTCTTTCAATCTCACTGAGTACTAGGTCAGCTTTTTGTATTTCTTGTACACAGTATAAGATTGAAGCTAGTTTCAGTTTACTTGATGCAACATCTGTATTCAGACCAAGTGAGATGAGTTTGAGGGCATCTGCAGATACAGTGTTGTATTGATAGATGTTTAGGGAAGCCAGTACAGTTCCAAGTGTTGTACAATACAATGGTAACAGAAGAAGACTGGCTGTCTTATCCAATCCTTCATGTTGAAAGTTGAATATCTTTGATACATAGTTCTTTATTTTTTCTACAGCTTCATGAGGACTACTGTCTTTAAGAAGATTATAAGTTTCTTTTGGTGTGTCAGCTATAGATATAGCCAGATTATATAATAGTTTTGCTGAAATGTAATCACTTGACTTGAATGGAAATAAGTTATAAAACTTGATATGAAGCCTGGAACCAAGAGCATCACATTTTATGCCAAGTAGTGCATCACCTTCACTGCTGATTATATTGTTAAGAATTTCCAGGATATATGGTTTGACTGCAGGTGAAATTTCCCCCCTCATTAAATTGTTCTCAGGTATGATAAAA